CTTTTACTCTCTCTCTCTCTCTCTCTCTCTTGCCTTTCTCCTTCTTTTCAGTTCCTTTCAGTTCCTTTCTCCCTCCTTTCAGTTCCTTTCTCCCTCCTTTTCAGTTCCTTTCTCTCCTCCCTTTTCCTTTCTCTCTCTTTCAGTTCCTTTCTCCCTCTCTTTCAGTTCCTTTTCTCCTCTCTTTCAGTTCCTTTTCCCTCTCTTTCAGTTCCTTTCTCCCTCTCTTTTTCAGTTCCTTTCTCCCTCTCTTTCAGTTCTCTTGTTCCTTTCTCCCTCTCTTTCAGTTCCTTTCTCCTCCCTTTCTGTTCACTTTCTCCCCTCCCTTTCTGTCACTTTCTCCCTCTCTCTCACTCTCTCTTTCTCTTTTTCACCCCCCCCCCACTCTCTTACGCCTAGAATTTGCAAGGATCAAGCAGAACACAAATGATGAATATATACACATAAATACGCATACATATTCAAACATTCATACATAAATACGCGACGTGAATACTAGGAATATTACACACATACACACGCGCACACACACACACACACACACACACACACACACCACACACACACACACACACACACACACACACACACACACACACCACACATTCTCTCCTTCACTTACTCACTCCACCCACCCCTAGACCCCCCCACCCCCACACCCCTCCACCTACCCCCACCACACACAAGCAACCAAGAATTCCATAGTCCAGAGAAAGGAGGGGAGGGGGGAGAAAGGGGGAGAGGGAGATGGAGGGTGAGGGAAGAAGGGGGAGGAGGAGGGGGGAGAAGAGGGGGGAGGGGAGAAGAGGGGGAGGGGGAGAAGAGGGGAGGGTTGAAGGGGGGGAGAAGAGGGGGAGGGAGAGGAGAGGAAGAGAAAGGTTGAGAGGGAAAGTGAGAAGAGGTGAGAGGGAAGAGGGGAAAGTGAGAAGGGGGAAAGGAGAACAGGGAAGGAGAACAGGGAAAGAGGGAGAAGGGGGGAAGGAAGGGAGGGGGGCGAGAACCATAAACCGTGCAAAGTCCCCGAGAGAGGACACAGAGGCTCCCCAGGTATTCCGAAAACGAGGAGATGGCAGGTTCTAGGCAAGGGACCCACGAAGGTGAAAAAAAGGTGAAAAGGTGACAGAGAGAGCGGAAAGATGATAGCGAAGGAAGGAAGAGGCAAAATAATGAAAGGGGGGAACGCCGACAAATCACCCAATGTCGATTAACAAATTAATTTTTTTTATTCTAACAAAGAAATTATCTTTTACACCACAAAAACAAATATCAAATAAATAACACNAAGGTTCCTAGGGCAAAGGTGAACCCACAAAGGGTGAAAAAAAGGTGAAAAGGTGAAAGAGAGAACAGAAGATAAAGATAGCGAAGAAAGGAGAGAGAAGGATAGAAAAAGAATGAAAGGAAGGTGAAAAGGTGAAAGAGAGAACGTGAAATAAAAGATAACCGAAGAAAGGGAGAGAGAGAAGAAAGAATGAAAGGAAGGTGAAAAAGTGAAAAGGTGAAAGAGAGTACAGAAAAATAAAGATAGCGAAGAAAGGAGAGAGAGAAGAAAAAGAATGAAAGGTAAAAAAAACGCCGACAAAATCACAAAGTCGAGTTAACAAAAAAAATACAAAAAAAGTAAACAAAAATAACACCCAAATAAATAAATAAATAACGGAAATCACAAATTCCAACTTTAATCAAACAAAGAAAATCAACCAAACGCGAAAAAAAACAAAGTCACGAACGACAAACGGCAAAGAAACCTCAAAGCCACCACACCACAAGAAAACTCCGAAGGAAACGACACACACACAACACGCACACACACAACACACACACACACACACACACACACACAACACACACACCAACACACACACACAACACACGCACACACACACAGCACTACCACACACACAGCATCCCTCTCTCTCTCTCTCCATCGTCTCTCTCTTCTCTCTCTCTCCTCTCTCCTTCTCTCTCCTCTCTTCTCGCTCATCTCATCCTCTCCCCCTCCTCTCCTCCCTCCCCTCCCCTGTCCTCTCTGCTCCCCCCCTCCTCATTCTCGTTCCAGCCCTCCCTCCTACTCCCATCCCCTCAAACCCCCTCTCATCGCCTTCCAATCGACCTCTCCGTCAAACCTCTTCACACCACAACACACCACAACAACACACCAACACCAACACAAACACACAACGCACACACAACACAACACACCTCTCTCTCTCTCTCTCGTTCTTCTCTCTCTCTCTCTCTCTCGTCTCTCCTCGCACTCGACTCTCTCTCATTCCTCACACTCTCATCTCGCTCTCTCATCTCTCCTCTCTCTCACACACACACACACACCACAACACACACCACACACACACTCACAGACAATCCCACACAAACACATACATCTACATATCTCCATATTCCTATTCATAACCCGCAATGTTGGGCCCCTGGTAGCTAAGAAAGGGTGGATGTTGTTGGGGCAAGGCGGTGGGTGTCCTTGTCTGCTTATTCCATCTTTAGCATGTTCTCGGAATGTACGGTCCGTGTATGAATAAATAAGTAAATAAAAAATACGTGTGTGTGTGTGGTGTGGTGTGTGTGAGTGTGTGAGTGGTGGAAGTGTGAGTGTGACGTTGGTGTGTGTGTGTGGTGTGTTGTGTGAGAGAGAGAGAGAGAGAGAGTGAGGGAAGAGGGAGAGAGAGAGAGAGGGAGAGGGAGAGGGAGAGGGAGAGGGAGAGGAGAGGAGCGGAGGGGAGGGGAAGAGAGAGAGAGAGAGAGAGAGGAGAGAGAGAGAGAGAGAGAGAGAGAGAGGAAGAGGAGAGGGAGAGAGAGAGAGAAAGAGAGAGGGAGAGGGAGAGGGAGAGGAGAGGGCAGAGGGAGAGGGGAGAGCGAGAGGGGAGTAGAGAGAGAGAGAGAGAGAGAGAGAGAGAGGAGAGAGAGAAGAGGAGAGAAGAAAGAGAGAGAAAGCGAAAGAGAGAAAGAAAAGAGAGAAGAAAGAGAAGAGAAAAGAGACAGAGAAAGAGAGAGAGAGTGTGTGCGTAAAATGAGTTGAGAGTAAG